TAAATGAGATCCATTTAGGTTGTTCTGAATAATTTTTGAGTGAGAATCATGCAAGTAATTTATTCAATGGTTCAACATTGCATCAAAGAAAAATTTTGGTATGGTAGGGAAGATTTATGGCACTTTGGAGTGGCACAGCTATTGCTATTGTATCTCTTTCAGAAGTTCAAGCACTTGTTTCAGTCAGAAGTTCACTTTTTGTTGACATTGGTTTCAGGTGCATCTGCTGTCCGTGAGCTGCCTCCACAGCAGTTCTGCAGGCAAGGTTTCGTGTTAGGAAAATCATCAGAAGCAGGATTTGGGAACGAAATGTACAAGATGTTAACTGCTGCTGCATTAAGCATAATGTTGAACCGGTCCTTGATCATTGGGCAAACCAGGCATATTGGTTCTTTCTCAATCCTTTCTGTTCTACATCAAAATTTTCCTATCTACATAACTATTTATTTTGTTAGCCGAAGCTAGTCTTGTTGTTTTCTGCGTTTATTGTTTGGCTCTTAAGACAGTGCATGGACATTGTATTATTTCCAATTCCATTTGCGTGGATTAATTATAAGTGCTAGCTATTTGAGGTTAGTGCAAACTTGGTTTACTCAGACTGGGTGTTGAAGAAGGCACTCCATGTTATACTCATTGTTCCAGGGAATACTCCCTGAGAAACCAGACAGATTCGGTGTTAACAATTCTTTTCTTCTCTTTCTTCAGGGGTAAATATCCTTTTGGAGACTACATTTCTTATTCCAACCTTACGTTTACCTTGAAAGAAATCAAGCATCTTTGGAGAAAAAACGATTGTGTAAAGAAGTACAAAAGGCAGTTGGTTATGAGGATTGATGATTTTGAGAAGCCAGCAAAGACAAATGCCCTCTGTAGCAATTGGAGGGATTGGGACCAACCTATTATATGGTAAAGTGGGAATTCTTTTGAGATGGTATGTTGTTTATTTATTTATTTATTTTCAATTATGAACACATTTTCACTAACTATACTACTGCAGGTTTCAGGGTACCACAGATGCCATAGGAGCTCAATTTTTCTTGAAGAATGTACATTCTGAGATGAGGAGTGCTGCTTATGAGTTATTTGGAAAGCCAGAATCTCTGCGATCTCAACCTAACATATTTGGGGAGCTAATGAGAGTACTCATATCCCCTTCTAAAGATGTTGAGGAAGCGGTCAATTGGGTTCTAGACGGTGTTGGGGAGCCTGATATTACATTGCACATGCGGATGCTTATGAATAGGTATTCTGACTGAACATCTAGAGAAAATTTCTCATTGGTTGATAATGATGCTTAATAACAATAAAATTCCCTACCAGCATAACTAGATATCAATAAAGTAAGAAAGAAGATGGAAGAGATGTGTATCATCCTAATAATTTGAAACCACAATGCGTGCTTACATTAGAAAGCAAGAAACCACTTTTGGCAATATGACAGGTGAGACTGTTTTGTATATGTGCTAAAAATAGACTTGGCCTTCTTAGAAAGGCACTTATATATTTATGAATGCCAACTGACATAATCGAAAACTTATTATTATGATATCTCTGCTGGTCTGTGTTTCAGATCTGTAAGAGCAGTACAGGCAGCATTGAACTGCATCAGAAGAGCCATGCACAACTTACAGCTAAGGTCAAAACCCAGGGTGGTTGTAGTGTCTGATACCCCCTCTCTCGTAAAAATCATAAAACCAAATATAAGTGAATTTGCAGAGGTAATAAATTTGATATTCACAGAATAAGATTGTAGAGTTAGAGTGCTGTAATGCCATGTTACCCATGCCTTAATTAATCTACACATTTGGATCCAGTACCCCTAGGTTAGGCCTAAAGATCCTAAGAATTGCCCTTTTATATATTCTGATATGGCTGTGCTCTTTTTAGGTTCTCCATTTTGATTATAAGGCTTACAGAGGTAATATCTCTAGTAAAGCTAATGGTTTGCCAACCATAGATTTTAGAGTGAAAGATTGGGGTCCAGCACCTAGATGGGTTGCTTTTGTAGACTTCTTTCTTGCCTCTCGGGCAAAACTTGCAGTTGTTTCTGGAGCACATAGACGTGTTGGGACTACATACGCGCAGTTAGTTGCAGCACTTGCAGCAGCAAATAGTATTGGTATTTTCTTTTTTCTTTTTCTCTTTCTCTTTCTTTAGCTTTTGTAATTGGATACTTGATTTCCTTTCGCAAGATATTGATGAAGGTATCACAATTCTTTTGGCCCTTTCAGGGGAAAACTCGACCAAATCAGAATTCTCATTCCTTAGTAGCTTCCATAGCAATTTGTTGGCAGAAGGTTTAAAGCTTCAGGTGGGTTGGGGACACGTATGGAACAGATTTGCAGGGCCATTAAGTTGTCAAGGCCAGTCCAATCAGTGTGCCTTCACACCTCTTCTTCCTCCAGCTTGGTGGGATGGTCTTTGGCAGTCTCCCTTGCCACGTGACATCCACAGATTGGAACAATATGGCATTCAGTTGTCAGGTTTGGGCACAGTTGAGGAAAATCAGCTCCTATCTAATTGTAGTTCTAGGAAAAGCACAGTAAAAACCGTCACATTCATATAGATATAATAGCTAGAGACTGAATCCAATGCATATGATGCATTTGTTTTAGATGATGGGTTACTTCAATATGGGGAAATCTTTCCTACACCCAGCTTTAGATCATGCCTTTCTTTGGTTATTTTACTCCTAAATTTTGAAAAGTAGCTCAACAGGATTATTATATATAAAGCACATTGGAAGCCCAATTCTCTGAGTCTCTCATTCTGCTCCTTAAAGCAAGGCATGCTTGATGATAGTGCATTGAATTGTCTCTTGCAATTCCTAAGAAATACTATTATTAGTTTAGACTTGGAGGAGGAAAAAGAAGAAACGTGTGACATATTATTTATTTATTTTTTGAGTAAGTTGTATTCGGATTTGGTTAAGAAATGGAAGAGAGATGCAAAAGGTTATTTATTGGGGTAGTTTGTGGTATAGGTTGATGCCCAGTTTTCTTTATGTAATATATGCTGCTTTGACTTTATTCTTCCTGATAGTTATTCGGTCTCCACGATGGTTCGAACCGGACACTTGCCCTTTGTAAATGGTTCTCCCTTCCCGTCAGTTTCACAGTTTCCCCCTCTTGAAAAAAATAAAATAAAAAATAAAATAAAATAAAAGGTTCTCCCTTCCCGTCAGTTTCACAGTTTCCCCCTCTTGAAAAAAATAAAATAAAAAATAAAATAAAATTGTCAACGCCTGTTTTCTGGTAAAGGAAAGAAAGCAAAGCACCAACTCTACTAGCTTTTAGTATTTCTTTTTAAAACTCGCAAGTGGAAGTTTCATTTCATTACCCCAAAATTCCAGAAATACAAAATTATTACCAAAATAAACTAAAGAAAGAGGGACGGCAAAATTTTCTTCTTAAAATTCCAACCTCAAATCTGACTTTAATTTTTTTTTTTTAGAGTCTCTAATGATAAAAACTACAGATAAGGTAAAAAAAAAAAAAAAAAGTTAAACCCTCATTTTGGTCCCTCAACTATTGTATAGAACGCCGATTTAGTCCCTCAACTCAAAAAATCCCTGATTTGGTCCTTACTGTTTACCATTTTGACCCTAATTTAATCCCTTCGTTAAAAATCCAATGACATGTCTCATTAATTAACGGAAGCATAATAGCATGTCAAAATAGAGTGACACCTCATATGCACACTTGGAAAAAAAGATAACATGACAATATGATGTTTCATTCTGACCCAAAACCAAGCCAAAAAAAAAAAAAAAAAAAAAAAGTGAGCCCCACCTCCTGCTAAGCCTAAACCCTTCTCCTCTTTTCTTCCCATTCAAACTTAGAACAACAGAGCCCTCGTAGTTCCTTAGCAAGCATCCACAAAAAAAAAAAGAGGAATTTTTTTTTATTTTTCCCAGTTTCCAGTTCCTCATATTGCCTTGCCTTCTTTATCGATCAATTCCTTCATCAATCGATTCTTCATTGTCATCAAACAATAAAATCCACACAAAAAAAAGAAATTTTTTAATTTTTTACTCTTGGGTTCATTCGAATCCAAACGTGTTAGGTTTGAAAAAATCCAAGCATCTTGCGTTTGAAATAACCCACACTTAGGTTCCATCAAACACAGTGCCTAGGTTTAAAAGAACTCGTGCTTGGGTTTCAAGGAACCCAGTAGGCATTGGGTTCCAAGGGGAGAAGAAAGGGGAAGAGAAGAAAAAAAAAAAGAATTTTTTAATTTTTTTTTA